TCTCTTCAACAAAGAAAAGGGGAACCAATTAACACAGATGTTGTTGTTGTTGTTGTTGTTAGGTGCCACTGAATCATCTCCGACTCATTGCGACCCTATGCACAGCAGAACAAAACACTGCCCAGTCCCGTGCCAGCTCCATGATACTTAGGCCCATCGCTGCAGCCACTGTGTGAATCCATCTCATTGAGGGCCTTCCCCTCCTTTGTCAACCCTCCACCTAACCAAGCATGATATTCTTCTCCAGGGAATGGTCCCTACTGACAACATGATCAAAGTATACGCCACCTCCTGAAATGAAGTCTGGCCATTCTTGCTTCCAAGGAACATTCCAGCTGCACTTCCTCCAGGACAGATCTGTTAGTTCTTTTAGCAGTCCGTGGCACTTTCAGCATTCTTCGCCAGCACCACAACTCAAAAGCATCAACTCTTCTTCGGTCTTCCTTATTCATTGTCCAACTCTCACATGCATATGAGGCGATTGAAAATACCATGGCTTGTGTCAGGTGCACCTTAGTCCTCAAGGAGACATCTTTGCTCTTCAGCACTTGAAAAAAGGTCCTTGGCAGCCGATTTGCCCAGTGCTATGTATCGTCTGATGTGTTGACTGCTGCTTCCATTGATGTCGATTATAGAACCAAACAATGTGAAGTCTTTGACAACTTCAATCTTTTCTCCATTTATTGTGATGCTGTTTATAGATCCAGTTGTGAGGATTTGTTTTCTTTATATTGAGATGTAATCCATACTGCAGACTGTATTCTTCAGCATCAGTAAGTGCTTCAAGTCACCCTCATTTTCAGCAAGCAAAGTTGTGTCGTCAGTGTACTGCAGGTTGTTAATGATTCTTCCTCCATTCCTTATGCCAGGTTCTTCTTCATATAGTTCAGCTTCTCAAATTATTTGCTCAGCACATAGATTGAATAAGTATGATGAAAGGACACAACCCTGATGCACTCCCTTCTTGATTTCAAACCATGCACCGTCCCCTTGTTCTGTTCAAAAGACAGCCTCCTGATCTATGTACAGGTTCCTTGTGAGAACCATTAAGTGCTCTGGAATTCTAATTCTTCTCGATCTTACACATAATTTGTTATGATCCACACAATCAAATGCCTTTGCATAGTCAGTAAAACGTAAGTAAACATCTTTCTGGTATTCTTTGCTTTGAGCCAAGATCCATCTGACATCAGCAATGATATCCCTCGTTCCACGTCCTGTTCTGAATCCAGCTTGCACTTCTGGAAGTTCGCTGTCAATATACTGCTGCAACCATTTTTTAATTATCTTCAGTAAGATTTTACTTGGATATGACATTAATGATATTATTCAATAATTTTCACATTCTGTGGAATCACCTTTGTTTGGAATGGTACAAATATGGATCTCTTCCAGTCAGTTGGCCAGGTAGATGTTTTTCAAATCTCTTGGCATAGCTGAGTGAGTGCCTCCAGCAGGGCAACCATTCGCTGAAACGTCTCAATGGGTATTCCGTCAATTCCTGGACCCTTGTCCTTCACCAATTCCTTCAGTGAAGCTTCGACTTCTTCCTTTAATACCATCAGTTCTTGATCATATGCCACCTCCTAAAATGGATGAACATCGACCAGTTCTTTTTGGTACAGTGACTCAGTATTCCTTCCATCTTCTTTTGATGCTTCCTGCATCACTCAATATTTTGCCCATAGAATCTTCCAATATTGCAACTCGAGGCTTAAATTTTTTCCTTGATTCTTTCAGCTTGAAAAAAGGCCAAGCGTGTTATTCCCTTTTGGTCTTCTAACTCCAGGTCTTTGCACATTTCATGATAGCAATTGGCTTTGTCTGCTCGAACTGCTCTTTGAAATCTTCTGTTCAGCTCTTTTATCTGGTCATTTCTTCCATTTGCTTTAGCTATTCTCCACTCAAGGGCAAGTTTCAGAGTCTTCTGACATCCATTTTTGACTCTTCTTCCTTTCTTGTATTTTTAATGACCTCTTGGTTTCTTCATGGATGTTGTTCTTGATATCATCCCACAATTCATCTGGTTTTTGCTTATTGGTGTTCAATGCGTCAAATCTATTCTTTAGATGGTCTCTAAATTCAGGAGGGATATATTCAAGGTCCTATTTTGGCTCTCGTGGACTTGTTTTAATTGTCTTCAACTTTAAATTGAACTTGCTTATGAGCAGTTGATGGTCTGTTTCACAATCAGCCCCTAGCCTTGTTTTGGCTAAAGATATCGAGCTTTTCCATCTTCTCTTGCCACAGATGTAGTCAGTCTGATTCCAGTGTACTCCATCTGGTGAAATCCACATGTGTAGCCACCATTTGCGTTATTGAAAAAAGGTATTTGCAATGAATAAGTCGTTGGTCTTGCAAAATTCTATCGTGCAATCTCCAACATTATTTCTGTCACCAAGGCCAAATTTTCCAACTACTGGTGATTCTTCTTTGTATCCAACTTTTATATTCCAGTCACCAGTCATAATTAACACAACTTGATTGCATGTTCAGTCAATTTCAGATTGCAGAAGTTGATAAAAATCTTCAGTTTCCTCATCTTTGGCTTTGGTGGTTGGTGCGTAAATTTGAATAAAAGTAGTATTAACTGGTCTTCCTTGTAGGTGTATGGATATTATCCTAACACTGCCAGCATTGTACTTCAAGACAGATCTTGAAATATCCTTTGTGATGATGCCATGCCATTCCTCTTCAATTTGTCATTCCCAGCATAGCAGATCATATGGTTGTCGGATTCAAAACGGCCAAAACTAGTCCATTTCAGCTCACTAATGGCAAGGATATCAATCTTTATGCATTCCATTTCAGTTTTGACCCTTCCAATTTTTTTAGATTCATACTTCGTACATTCCATGTTCCGATGATTAATGGATGTCTGCAGCTGTTTCTCCTCAATTTGAGTGGTGCCACAACAGCAAATGGAGGTCTCGAGAGCTTTACCTTATCTATATGAGTAAGGCTGGGTTTACTCAGATGATGCAGCTCTTTCCCAGTCCTATTTTGAGAGCCTTCTAACCTAACCAGACTATTCATAAAGTTGCGTGGTAATGTATCAAACAGTGTTTCTTTGCTATTCATAAGGTTTTCCCTGGCCAATTCTTTAAGAAGTGGATGGCTTCTTCCTGCTTCCTAATCTGCCTCAGTCTGTAAGCTGGGTTGATACCTGTGTACCATGTGCAACCTGCTGGGTTTGAAACACCAGTGGCTCAACCTCAAAACTCACATCAACACGTCACCACAATAGGACAAACCGACAGACAACTTTGTCTCCCTGTTGGAAACCTCTCGTACCACCCTTACCTGGGTCCCTGCGGCTGACTGCTCCTCTGTCCCAGTTCCTGAGCCTTTTAATCCCCTTTCTCCCGCTCTCCCGCCCTGCTGCTTTAGGTGTGCCTGGGTTCCCGCCCCTCACCTGGATCCCTGCAGCTGACTGCAGCGGGACCACAGAGGGGCTGCACCTGGCCTTATGGGCCGAGAAGAAAGCCAAGGTAATTGCAGTAATGAATGCTGTGGAAGAAAACCAGGGTTCTGGGGAATCGCAGAAGGTGGCGGAGGCCAGCCCTCCTGCTATGCAACAGCCCACTGACCCCGCATCCCCTACTGTGGCCACCACACCTGAGCCTGTGGGGGCTGATGCTGGGGACAAGAATGCCACCAAAGCAGCTGATGATGAACCAGAGTATGAGGACGACTGGGGCTTTGGCACTGGGGAGCATGTGTGGGGAAAACTGTGGGGCTTCTCCTGGTGGCCAGGTGGCATTGTGTCTTGGTGGATGACGGGCCGGAGCCAAGCAGCTGAAGGCACCCGCTGGGTCATGTGGTTTGGAGACGGCAAGTTCTCAGTGGTATGTGTTGAGAAGCTGATGCCGCTGAGTTCCTTTTGCAGTGCATCCCACCAGGCCACCGACAACAAGCAGCTCATGTACCGCAAAGCCATCTACAAAGTCCTGCAAGTGGCCAGCAGCTAGGCATGGAAGCTGTTCCCAGCATGTCAGGACAATGATGAGAGCGACACTGCCAAGGCTGTGGAGGTGCAGAACAAACACATGATTGAATGGGTACCTGGGGGCTTCCAGCCCTGTGGCCCCAAAGGCCTGGAGCCACCAGAAGAGAAGAATCCCTACAAAGGCACTACCCTGTTGTTGTTGTTATGTGCCATCGAGTCGGCCCCGACTCATAGCGACCCTTCCTTCGGTTGCTAAAGCAGTATCACTACGGAAGTAGATTGTCCAACCTTCCTTCTGAGGAGTGGCTGGTGGGTTTGAACCGCCAGCCTTTTGGTTAGCAGTCAAGTGCCTTAGGCACTACGCCACCAGAGCTCCTAAGGCACTACCCTAGAGAGATGCAAATCAAATCAACAATGAGATACTACTAGCTTGCCCCAGCACTAGTAGCAAAGTTCAAGACAGAAAGTAAATGCTGGCAAGGCTGTGGAGAGATTGGGACTCTCAGACACTCCTGGTGGGACTGTCAGATGTACAACCACTGTAAAAAGCAGTATGGCGATTCCTTAAAAAGTTAGAATTAGAAATACCATTTGACCCAGCAATCCCATTACTAGGTATATATGCTAAAGAAGTGAGAGCCAGGACAAGAACAGGTATATGCATGTCCATGTTCAGTGCAGCACTATTTACAATAGCAAAAAGACTGACCACTGACCACTTGAATTACAACCACCTGGAATGCTCTTTAATAAAAACAGATTCTGGAAGTAGCCAGTCAGCTCTTTCAATCTTTAAACTTTCGGCATACTTTGTACTTATATTTCGACACTCACTACACTGGATTGCAGGATTATTCATTAACTCTTGTTTCAGCTGATACTTTTCCCTCCGTTCAGGTCATTGGTGGATTTGCACGAACTCCAGGAGGCTGCAAACAGCGGTTTAGGAAGTATCTCCTTGCCTAACCAATTGCAGCAGTGCGAACGATCCCACCTGCGACTGCTTCCCAAGGATACAGAAAGTCGTCAATCCCAGCCTGTTCGAGCTGCAATGGCGGCGACTGTGATCCTGGAGCCCGCCGACCGCTGCTGCTGGGACGAGCCGGTACGCATCGTGGTGCGCGGACTGGCACCAGGGCAGCCGGTCACACTGCGCTCGTCCCTGCGCGATGAGAAGGGCGCGCTCTTCCGGGCCTACGGGCGCTACCGCGCGGACGGCGGCGGCGAGCTGGACCTGGCGCGCGCGCCCGCGCTGGGCGGCAGCTTCGCGGGCCTCGAACCCATGGGCCTCTTCTGGGCCCTGGAGCCGGAGAAGCCCTTGGTGCGGCTGGTGAAGCGGGACGTGCAGACGCCCTTCACGGTGGAACTGGAGGTGCTCGAAAGCCACAAGCCCGAGCCTCAGCGGGTTCTAGGCCGGGCGGTGCACGAGCGCCACTTCCTGGGGCCCGGAGTGCGGAGGGAGCCGGTGCGCGCGGGCCGGGTGCGCGCCGCTCTCTTCCTGCCGCCAGGTAAGCGACCGTTTCCCAGGCTGTATTTGAGTGCCAGGTCAAGTCCCTAGACCCGGAGTGGCCCCCTGTCTAACACCGAGACTTGTGCTTGTGGAACTTCCCAAGCTCTCGTCCCCGCGCTTCAGATCGATCATGAATTCTGGGTGGAGGTTCTTCTTAAGTTTCACAGCACTTGCTGGAGGCGCTGTCACCCCCTAGGGTACCTTCTACATGTTTTTATTGAGTGCCAACCATATGCCAAGCCACGCAGCTGTTTGAGGTACCGAGTTAAACAACAGGTTCTGCCTGTCTGTAAGCGTGATTTGCAGCCTCCTTTCATATCACCCTTCCAAGGGCACTACAATCCATAGATAGAGGTGGTGGTTGTCAGTTGCCATGGAGTCCCTCCAATTCATAGGGACCATATGTTTAACAGAACAAAATGCTGTCAGTCCTGTGACAACTTCATGTTCAGTGGCATGTTTGAGTCCGTTAAAAAATCCAAAACCCTTTGCTTCAAGGTGATTCCTACACATAGCAACCCTATAATACAGAATAGAACTGCCCCATAGGGTTTTCCAAGGCTATAAATCTTTATAGAAGCAGCCTGCCACATTTTTCTCCACTCATCCGCTTAGCAGGCAAGCACTTAACTACTGTACCACCGGGGTTCATTTTGAAGTCGTTAAACCAAATTCACTACCTTTGAGTGGATTCTGAATCAGAGTGACCCTATAGGACTGAGTAGAATTGCCCATAGTTTGCTAAGCTGTAAATTTTTATAGGAGCAGGTCACCAGGTCTTTCTCCCACTGAGCAGCTGGTGGGTTCACACCACCAACCTCTCGGTTAAGAGCCAAGCACTTCACCCCTGCACTGCCAGGGTCCTTAGTGCTACAGATGGTTGGAGCACAGTTCTACTACTGGTCACCATGGGTTGTAGTCGACTTGAAGGCAACTGGTATTTGGGGTTTAACTTTGCCCTGTGGAGATCAGGAAAGGCTTCCTTTAGGAAAAAAATATCTAAATTTAGATTTGAAGACGGGAGTCAGCCAGGTAGAAAGAGATGATGAGGAGGAGAGAATAGAATACTAAGGCAAAGGAATAGTGTGTAGGGATACTCGGGGGCCAGAGAGAAGAGCGCACATCTAGGGGTGGAGTTCTTTAAGGCTGGAGCAGAGCTGGGGAGGTGGGGCGTAGACTCTGAGAGTCCTGGACACAGGTACAGCATTTGGCAGTTCTCAGAGCATTCTCCAATAGAGGGTTTTTTTTAAAAGAATTGTTGGTGGAAAATGTACATACCATTATTTATTTTTAACTTGGTTTACTTGTATTTATTATCTTTTGGGAAAAATTCTGGGGAAATTAGGCATTTTGTGTGCTCCCCCCAACTTCTTCTTTAAGGTTATGATTCTTATTTTTTTAAGTCAAGTAAAAAGGGTCTTCCTTCCTTCAACCTCCACAGCACCCCTGTAACCTCTCTGGCTTTAAAATCTTCTCTTTGCTGACTGAACCTAAGGATGTCTTTTGAGAATCTAAAGCTTCTTATCACTTTTATTTTTTAAGATAGTCCTTTTCATTTTCTCCAGGCCTGGGGCCGTTTCCTGGGGTCATCGATCTGTTTGGAAGTGGCGGTGGCCTTTGTGAGTACAGGGCCAGCCTCCTGAGTGGACATGGTTTCGCTGTGCTTGCTCTGGCTTATTTCAGGTTTGAAGATCTTCCTGAATATTTGAATGATATGCACCTGGAGTACTTTGAAGAGGCTGTGGACTTCATGCTGCAGCATCCAAAGGTGAGTTCTGGTGCTTGCCTAAATGCAGAGGAGAGGAGGGGATAGAGGGGACCTGGGGCTGGATTCAAAATCCCTATCAGGAAACCTAGGGCTGAAACTATGCTGTGAGACACCAAGGCTCCTTCAGGGGTTACGAGGCTTATTATTTCCATTTCCACTCCTCTCTCTAATCCTTTAAGATTTAATTTCTTAGTTCCCTTTGTAATCTTGACCATAATTCTTGACCAAACGGCACTAAACTAAGGAGTTAGTAATGGATTCTGGTTCTGCATTTACCACCAAGTGTAGCCTTATGATCCTGAATGAAGATCATAGGAACCCTCTCTGGGGTTCAATTTTCTCATTTATAAGATTAATACAAATGTGTAAAGGAATGGGCTTCACTATAAAAAGGCATTTTAGAAGAAATAGAAAAAAGAGAAAAAAAAAAGGCATTTTAGAGACAATTGGTGACATCTGACTAGAGACTGGATATTTGATGATATTAAGAAATTAGCATTAATTTTCTTAATTCCATTATAGTATTGCTTTGTAGGATAAGTCTTTATCTGATAGTGGAGATATAAACTAATAATAACATTTTGTTATGATTGTAAGTGAAACAATATGATATGATAATAGTCTTTGCTATTATCTAGACTTAAAGAAGGGAGGTCTGGTGGCATAGTGCCTAAGGCAAGTGACTGCTAACCAGAAGGCTGGCAGTTCAAACCCACTTTGTTGTTGTTGTTATGTGCCGTCGAGTCGGACACGACTCATAGCGACCCCTCCATGGGTTTCCTAGGCAGTATCACTACGGAAGTAGATTGCCCCATCTTCCTTCCGAGGAGTGGCTGGTAGGTTTGAACCGCCAGGCTTCTGGTTAGCAGTCAAGTGTCTTAGGCATTATGCTACCAGAGCTCCCTCAAACCCACTAGCCACTCCTTGGAAGGAAGGTTGAGCAATGTACTTCCGTAGTGATATTGCTCAACATTTTAATGTTAAAGACTAAGATGTTCTGCAAGTTCTTGCAGATGGCCTAGCTCTGTTAGAGTTCAAGGACTGGTCTTCCAGCAGAGCTGCTAAAATGTAGATATTCTTGAGCTGTGAGCACTGGTTTATTTAGAAGCAATAAGGCCCTAGGAAAAATAAGAGATCAATGTATACCATTAGTTCTGCCTTAGACCTAAGCAAGAGACACTCCTTCTCCAGACCCTTTGTTTTAGATAGCCACATTCTGGCTGTCATCTGCCCACATCCTTTCCCACACTGAGGAGTTGGAGGCGCAAAAGGAAAGTGTCTACTTGGATGGTGCCCACCTGTGCTCACGGGAGGAGCTCTGATAGTGAAGTGCCTAAGGCACTTGACAGCTAATCAGAAGGCTGGTGGTTCAAACCCACCAGCCACTCCTTGGAAGGAAGATGGGGCAAACTACTTCCGTAGTGATACTGCCTTGGAAACTCAAGGAAGGGTTGCTATGAGTCAGGTCTGACTTGATGGAAAATAACAACAACAACATGCTCATGGGACTGAGACCCCTGAATTTCCTGCCTAAACATCTCTGAGTCTGATTCTAAACACTATGTTGCCCTCAGTCCATAAGTATATACACTAGTAGCCCTTAATGTGTAGAAGGAGCTCTGGTGGGATAGTTGTTAAAGCGTTTGGACTGCTAACCAATAGGTCGGCAGTTCGAATCCACCAGCTGGTCTGTGGGAGAAAGATGAGACAGTCTACTTCCCTAAAGATATACAGCCTTGGAAGCCCTAAGGGCAGTTCTCTGCTATCCTATAGGGTCACTATGAGTCAGAATTGACTTGATGGCAGTGCATTTGGTTTTTTTGGTTAATGTAGAGACTGGGATGTACCACATATATTCAAGGTACCTCAAGGTACATAATAGAGCCAGGAATGGGAAGAGAAGGAAGATAGGCCAGAAATGAGGGGCTGGGGCCAGGAGCTGGCTCTCTTCTCTGCCACATTCTAGTACAGAACTCCAAGATTTTAAAATGGAGCTCTTCTAAGTTGTTGTGGAGGTATATTTACCAAGGTAGGAAAATGGAATATATTTCATTTATCAGCTTGTTCATTCCACTTACAACTTTTAAATATTTAGATGTAGGGTTTATAGGCCTTTATGTACATACTCTTGACCCAGACCCTATAAATATTAGGGGAGAGCCTGTGTACAAATCAGTTACAATTGGTTAGTTGATTTGCTTATTAGAAGACATAGCTCAACTTTGTAGATTGATACATAAGGAAAGTAAATGACATTTGAGAAAGCTTCTCAGAAAATGTAAAATCATTTTTTATGTCCTCCGTTTATAAAGGCTAAGTTGTTCCCTTTCTCTCCTCATCAGGTGAAAGGCCCTACTATTGGACTTCTTGGCTTCTCCAAAGGAGGTGACCTGTGTCTCTCAATGGCCTCCTTCTTGAAGGGCATCACAGCCACTGTACTTATCAATTCCTGTGTGGCCAATACAATCACTTCTCTACATTATAAAGATATGACTATTCCTGGTCTTGAAAATGACCTAGGAAAATGTACAATCACTGAGTCAGGCCTTCTGGATAATACGGATTCTTGGAATAACCCACTGGAGGAACCCAACCACCAAAGTCTCATTCCACTGGAAAAGGCCCAGGGGCCCTTCTTGTTTATTGTTAGCGAGGATGATCATAGCTGGAAGAGTGAATTTTACGCTCATATAGCCTCTGAACGCTTACAAGCCCATGGGAAAGTGAGACCCCAGATAATTTCCTACCCAGGAGCTGGTCACTGTATTGAGCCACCTTATTTTCCTCCTAGTATAGCCTCTGTGCATGCAGTTTTGGGCCAAGCAATATTCTATGGAGGTGAGCCAAGGGCTCACTCAAGAGCTCAGGTAGATGCCTGGCAGCAAATTCAAACTTTCTTCCACAAACACCTCGATGGTAAAAAATCTGTTAAGTGCAGCAAAATATAATCTTATAATCATAAAACCAAAACAACAACAAAACTCATTGCCATCGAGTTGATTTGACTGATAGCGACCCCTTGGATTTCTGAGGTGGTATCTCTACAGAAGTAGATTGCCCTATCTTCCTTCCAAAGAGTGGCTGGTGGGTTTGAACTGTCAGCCTTCTGGTTAGCAGTCAAATGCCTTAGGCACTATACCATCATAGACCAAACCAAAAAACCAAACTCACTGCTATCGAGTCAATTCCAACTCACAGCAACCCACGCCGGGTTTCCAAGTCTGTAAATCTTTATGGAAATAGATTGCCTCATCTTCCTCCTGCACAGCAGCTGGTAGTTTTGGATCACTAACCTTCTAGTTAACAGCCAAATGCCTTACTCACTATGCCACCAGAGCTCTTAATCATAGACCAGGTACTGTTAATAAAAATTCTACTCATACAACATGTATTGTGTTTTCCAGAGTACTTAGGAACCTTTTTGTAATGAAGCAACCTTAGTTTCTCTGTTAGGTGGTAGGATTCTTAGTCTTTGCGATGCACCTTTCTTCATTGCTACCACCCTCACACATTCCCACCCCCTCACCTCCAAGCTTTACTGAGTGTATAGGTTTAACCCTGATCTTGTCTGTAAGACCAATCTTAACCTTAAAAACCAAAATCTACTGCCATGGAGTTGAATCCAACTCATAGCAACCCTATAGGGCAGAGCAGAATTGCCCCATAGGGTCTCCAAGGCTGTAAATCTACTTCCACAGGTGGGGCCTTTTGGTTAGCAGTCCAGTGCTTTAACCACAGTGCCACCAAAGCGCCATCTTAACCTTCCACAAAAACCAAAACTAAACCCACTTCCATGAAGTCAGATCCAACTCATAGCGACCCCTCCTTGGGTTTCTGAGGCAGTATCACTGTGGAAGTAAATTGCCCAACCTTCCTTCCCAGGAGTGGCTGGTGGGTTTGAACCACCAGCCTTCTGGTTAGCAGTCAAGTGCCTTAGGCACTACGCAGGAGAAATTAAGGAGTGCTTGCCCAATTCTCAAGGAGCCCTGGTGGCATAGTGGTTAAAGCATTCAGCTTCTAATCAAAAGGTTGGTAGTTCAAACCCACAAGCTGCTCTGCAGGAGTCAGATGAGGCAGTCTGTTTCCATAAAGATTTATAGGTTTTGAAACCCTGTGGGCAATTCTACTCTGTCCTATAGGGTCACTATGAGTCAGAATTGACTGGATTGCAGTGGGTTTGGGTTTGCCCAACTCTTGATTCCTGAGTGATGAACTGTTTCTGCTAGTCTACTAACCTAAAGGTTGGTGGTTTGAACCCATCCAGTGGAATAAAGGGCTGGTGATCTGCTTCTGTAAAGATTACATCTGAGAAACCCAGTGGAGCAGTTCTATTCTGTAATATATGGGGTTGACATGAGTTGGAATCGAGTCAAAGGCAAGGGTGTGTTTTTTGGTATTTTTCCCCTCCCTCAACTCTCAGTTGCTGGCCTTGCTTCAGCCTGTGTGACAGTTCTGAAAACTGAGTTTCTGAATTCTGAATTTCTCTGAAATCCCATATCCCCTTTGGGTCCTAAATGTCTATGTCTGAACATAGTCACTTTATGGTCCTGCTTGCCTAGATGACTGTCTTGATGCTGTTTTAACCATCTTTAGGAGTTATCCATTCGTCAGCTGATGGATACTTGGGTTATTTCCACCTTTTGGCTATTGTGAATAATGCTTCAATGAGCATTGGTGGAACTTTAAGCTTTTAAGTGCATATAAATAGGAACATTTTTAATACTTGTGCCAGGCTACGGGACATTAGCAATGATTTCCACTGTGTATAATCTGCGTTGCAGCTTTCTCAATGAAAAAGCAAAATTTGTGGGAAAACAGACACCACAACCCTCCCTTCTGAACCTGCCCCCCACCATCCTGGCTGGTTTTAGGACTTTGTGGCCTTTCAAATCAGTCAAGTTTCCCTCCACTGGTTTCCACTTGCAAGTCCTGTCATTTTATAGTTGAATTCAATGCTTCATCTGAAACTTTTAAACTTGAATTTTGACACCCCCCCTTTTTTTTTTAAATTGTGATTTGGTTGAATGTTTACAGAGTAAATTCACTTTCCATACAGCAGTTCACATACACTTTGTCTCATGACATTGACTACAATTTACCACAATGCAACAGCTCCCCTCCCACTTCCTCCCCATAGTTACCTCTTCCCTGTGTCCATTGCTCCATGCACTCCTGCCCCCTGAGCTATGTCCCTGTGTGTACACAGCCCTTATATTCTCCTATGATTGTTCTCTCCAAGGAGTGTATCTACCTCAGGTAGATGTTCAACTCATATGCCTGTCTTTTGTTTGGCTGGAAGCCACAGGTGTGGGTTCAATTCCAGACCTGAAGGGCAGCTAGGGGCCATAGTCTCAGGGGTTCCATTGGGCTCTATCAGACCAGTAAACCTGGTCCCTTTTTTGTTTTTTTCAAATGATTTTGAGTTTTGTTCCATATTGTTCTCCTACTCTATCCAGGATCTCCTACATAGATCACCGTCTGAGTGGTTGACAGTGGTAGCCAGGCACCATCTAGTTCATTTGGTCTCATAATCGTAGAGGCTGAGGACCACGTGGTGTACCAGTCGCTTGGACTAATTGTTTCCATGAATCTTTGGTTTTCTTCATTCTTCTTGCTCTGGATGAGGGGAGACCCATCATCTAGATGGCTGCTTGCAAGCTTTTAAGATTGCTGTCGCTACTCACCAAAGTAGGAGGTGGAACAATGTTTTGTGTAGTATGCTATGCCAAATGAGCTTGATGTCCCCTGTGACTGTGGTCCTGAGCCCACAGGTCCAACTACTTGCTCTCTCTGGGTAGCTGGTTGTGTCCAAGAAATGACTACAAACTTGTCCCTTGTCAGCTCTACTATACCTAGGATTCTTACAGAATATAGCAATTAGAAACATTGTCTGCCAACCCTATACTTGTTGATAGCCTTTCTTAATTCGGCAAAGATAATTTCATATTACTTCAATGGAGAAAAATGGAATTAGGCAGGAGCCTGGAGCTCTGGTGGTGTAGTGCCTAAGGCATCTGACTGCTAACCAGAAGGCTGGTGGTTCAAATTCCTCCTAAGGAAGTTTGGGCAATCTTCTTCCCCAGAGATACCGCTTCGGAAACCCAAGGAGGGGGTCGGTATGAGTCGGGATTAACTCCATGACAATGAGTTTGGTTTTGGTTTTGGTTTCTGGAGTTCTTGGTGTTCTTAAACCAAATTTAGGAAACAGTGTCCCCTGGTGGTCAGTAAGGATTTCAGTGAAGGCGACCAGCCAGCGTAATCTGTCAGAAATCACTGACTTCTCATTCTAGAGAAATTGAGGGGGGTATGCAGGGGATGAAAGAACTGTCTTTCCTATTCGGTTCTGCCAGGAGGGCTCCAGAACCACGGCAGACCCTGGGTCCCCCTCATCTCCCCTCCACCAGCCCTCTGCTTGCCCAGGCCCCTTGCAGTCACCGACCCGCTCGCCCGCCGGACGGACCACCCCCTTTCCAGCCACGCCCTGCAGGCCTGCTCCTCGGGCCGCCCCGGCTGTCCCAGTGCTCCCCGCTGCGCCTGCCCAATCTCGCCCGTTCCGACCCAGTGCTGCTCCAGAGAGTGCTGAGCCTCAGCCCGTCCTGCGCCACGATCCTACAGTGCCATGTGGCGGATGGCCTGGGCCGCGCTCCAACCGGGGGACCGATGACAACGTCTCTTTTCTCTCACGAGGCCGCGACCCTGACCGTCCCGCCCCACACGGGGCTGGCCGACGAGCTCCTGGGTATCAAAGTGCAAGGCTTAGGGCCCGGGGGGCGGGTGACCCTGCGGGCATCGGCCGTCAGCTACCAAGGCCAGCCCACCACGAAGCGGACGACCGTGGGCGGCTGGACCTGGCCAAGGACCCGGCTCTGGGCGGCGACTTCACGGGCCTGGAGCCCATGGGGCGGGCCTTGAGGACCCCTTCTTCCGCCAAATGCCGAGAGGCGTGATGAAAACCCCCCTCAAGTGGAGGTGCCCACCACACGCGCAGCAGGCCTCAGTCCAGGTGCACCCGGCCCGCCCTGGGGCTGCGCCGCGCTCGGCTGAAAGCGAACCCCGCGGGGCGACTTCCTGCTTACCCCCCCCACACACACACACACACACTCGTGTGTAAGGCCTTTTGCGCAGAGGGCCTTGCGGCAGACTTAGGGAGTGAGTGGCTGGTTTATGAAAGCTGTCTTGCTTCACTCATCTAAAATCATAGCGAGCTCCCTGATTCCTTCATTTTGTTCCCCAGAGATCACATGGAACATTCATTCCTCTAAGTGGTGCTTACGTTCTAAATTTAATCTGTTTAGGTACATCTCTTCTGCCAGCAGCCCACCGTCTAAACTCTACGTGCTGCAGAATGTAGTCCTTGTGCGTGCATACCTTGCATGTTTGTTGTACTAAGCATAACACTGCTGTAAATTTTCTAGCGTTAAATACTAGTTTGCCTATCTCTACTAGGCAGAACTTTGTGTAGATTTAATTTTCCAATCACCTTTTTTTTTTTTTTTTCAGTAAAAATGAGAATAGTGGATACATACCTTTCATTGGTATCTGTTTAAGCCCCAAATTGTCTGATGTCCTATTACACTGTTCACTTTTTTATACTGCTTCAATGTTAGATAAAAATTAACTTTGTGTTGTCTTCAGACATACCCTAATGCCTTGGAGACATTCACCATAATGAAAAAAAATGTTTTGCTGCACATTTCATAGATCAATAGAACAACTTCCTTATTTCATAAATGAGGAAACTAAGGCCTGAAGAGTTTTCAACAAATCCACAAACTAGGCAAGGCCAAAATCAGGGTGTGAGGCAAACTCTTTGAGCTACAAGTTCCAGCCTTCTTTAGAAACTCCATAAACTGCAATGAGTGAAATTAACCAATGAGTGAAATAATTAAAGACTTTATTTTTAAACAATCTGGCTCTGGCTTTATCCTGGCTACAACATCACTGCCCACTTA